TCTTTCATGCATAGCGTGTAACGAATCGCACACTGAAGATTCGACATTCATCATATCATATTAGTTGTGGATTTAGAGCATGTATTGTATAGGTTTCCAAATTTTGTTGTGCTTAGTAGATAGTTGATTATCTTGCATATTCCTGTTGATATATGCGTTGTTGCACCACTTGTTGATTTTGGAAACTTGGGGATGTCGTTGTTTGACTATGGCTAGGACGTGGTTCTAGTACGGGGGATAGGCCCTCTATATAGTCTAGTGCGCACATAGGGAGGTTACCCATGGGCTAGTAACCCTAAAGTAACTATGTTGTCGGTCTGATCCGGCGTGACGTCCGAGTATCCACTTTGTTTGATTTCACATTTCATTTTCAAGTTGATAACTAAATGATGTTGTAACTTGTTGTTTCTTAATTGTCGTTCCATTTTAAGTTACAGGATGTTAACTTTGCAAAATTGTGTTTTATGCGTTGTATTGGAAGTTCCAATGTTGTTTAAATTGCATCGATATTGAAAATCGTGTTTTGACGTTCTAATAAAGCTTAGGATTGATCCTATTGATTCATTTATAACTTAGACGTTAGGTGGCATGACCCACTTCTGTTGTTTTCGTGCTTTAGATTCCAAGCTGATAGCTTTAAGAAATTGTATTTTGTTGCCTTGTATAATAAGCTTTTATGTGGTTAGACTGCATTGAAGTTGTAATTTGCGTTTTGATTGTTCAGCATGGCCTAGGATGATTCCTTAGACTTATTTAGAACATAGCCGTTAGGTGACATGATCACTTTAGTGGTTTTTGTATTCGAGATTGCAAGTTAATACCTTTGAGAACCTATATCTTGTTGCTTTATATAACGTGCTTCCATATTGTTTAAATGGCATAGATGATGTGATTTATTCTAAAAACACTCTAAGGTAGCTTAGGATGCTCCTTGAGTCTCATTTCGATATAGACGTTAGGTGGCATGAACCCCTTTAACATGTTTCACCTTAAGGTGATAAATTTGTAAAATGCTAGGTCGATGCATGCTCATCTCCTACGAGTAACTTTATGTTACTCACCCCTACGATACTAAGGCATATTTCAGGTACGAAGACTTGGTTCGTGAAGCCTAGCATTCTTTGGATGTCGTGTAGCTTTCAAGTTTCCATTTCATGCAAATGTTAGCAGGAAATGTCATTTTGTAGACTTATATGTAAAATTTGTATTCTTTGATTCCATGTATGTAATGTGTACTTAAGTGCACTCCTTTCAATGTATTCAACATGTATGAAATGAGGCTGGAGGCCATTGACATGTATATTGAATTTTTTGTAACTTCTAACTTCTTGAAATATTTGGAAAATATGAAAAAATGCCAAGTCATTGTCTCACCATGGTTGCATCAAGTGTGGGAATTCCGTTTTCATTCTTTCATAGGGTCTTATAATTCATGTTTGAAGTGTGGCCAAGGGCGAAACGGTCATTTGATCCCGTTTTGTATTTTTGGATTCCAAGTTTTCATTCCAAGTTCCATTTTTGCCTTTTTGCCCGTTGGGGGGTCGAATTTTGCATCAGTGGTATTTTTAAGTCGTGGACCATTGTAGCACGTCCAAATAGATAAGTTACGTTTGCGTGCATGGTTGTTTCCGGGCAAAACCTTATCGTTTGTGTTTTGAGCCTCTTGTGAATTCATTTCGCACTTTTTTTGCATAATCTGATTTAGGGGCATTCTGGACCTTTCACATTAGTTTTATTTTCTTCTTTTGACATGGTCGCTTAGAAAATATGATTTTGAAGGGGGTTTCTTATTCGTGTTTTTCCAGAAAATATCGTCTTGGTGCCGGAAATCAATAGCAAAGTTCAGCTTTCTGTTTTTTTTTAGCAGCTTTTTGGACCTCCATGACCAGATTTCATGGAGGGGCATTTTGAGCATTCTACATTGCATTTTTTTTAATTCTTTCGCGAGTCACATAAAAATCACAATTTTGAGGGGGGTTTCTTCTTTGTGTTTTTCCAGAAAAATTAATCTTCTAGCCCGTTTTTGCTCTCAGTTGTGGACAGATTCTGAAAATTTTCATGTAGCAGCTTTTTGGGTCCATCTTGACCTACACTGTTCAAGGGGCATTTTAGGGGCTTTACATCGTGTTTTTTTTTTGTTTCTTCTGTGAAGTCGGGTAGAAAACATGATTTTAAGGGGGGTTTCTTCTTCGTGTTTTTCCAGAAAAATTCGTTTAAGTGTCCGTTCATAGCCTCAGTTCTGGGAAAAAAAAAAAAAAAAAAATCAAATGTGGCTTGCTGTTACAACACTATTCATACCCAGATTTTTGACCTGAAAAGTGAATCTATTTTTTTGAAACTTTGAGGCTTCATATCTTCATCGTCCAGACTCCAAATCAAGTGATTTTTGAGTCTAAGTTTATTAAATTTTGCTTGTCTATCCAACGGTATGCTCAATTACATTCAGTTTTTTCATAAAAGACCATTTTACCCCTTGCGAAGTACCCTTGCTGCATTAATTTTAAACTCAAAAATGTGATTTTTATGAAACTTTGGAGTTTCATATTTTCTTCATCTGGACTCCGAATCAAGTAATTTTTGAGTCTATCTTTATTAGTTTTTCGTTATCCTTCCAGTGGTGTGTTTGGTGGCATCCGAGTCCATAGTTTTCAGAAATGACTATTTTGCCCCTAGGGGCTTATTTGTTATATTTTTGGTCTTTTGCTTCCGCGTCAGTTCTCATTGAGTTCCACGACCTCATGGAAGGTCATTTTGACTTCTTAGAGTCTTATTTTCTGTTTTCGCTTCCGCATATCAGATCCGTTATCGGGTCAATCTTCAGTTCATCACAGGACACGCTGGTCTAAAAACCAGGGTCGTCACAAAAACAGAGCAAGAAAATATGAAGAATTTTTGTTTTATTTTGGTTAAGTAAAGATATAAGCTTTTGAATCATGCACTTTTTTGAAATTTGTACATATTTTTGTATAAAACCATGATTTGGAATTGGTTATATATATATATATATATATATATATATATGATGTTATTGGCTAGTTGCAAGTTATTGTGGTTATGATATTATTTTTTATTTATAGGGTTTGTTTCTTGGGTCCTTGCAAGGCTAGTAGTAGGGCAAAAAAAAAAGTTCTCATAGGGGCTGTACGCTACTTTTTTTAAAAAATTGTATAACACTTTTTATCACGGTTTTGCACCGTGGTAAAAAGCCTTCTGCTTACTACCACGGCAGTTTCTACCACGGTTCAAAACCGTAGTAAAAAGTATTTTCTACCGCGATTAAAAACTGTTTTTTTTATAGTGAGAGATCATATGAAATAATTTTGCAATTTTGCAATTTTGCAATAATGTATAAGTACGAGGTACCTAATATCTTCTCCATACATAATTAAACGATATGGATGTAATTATATATAGTCACTAATCATTGCACATTTAGGTGACCTAGGCGGCGAATCTATACTCTTTAATGGCTACATCATTAGTCGCATAAAAAGTTTCTTATAACATTTTATATTAATCATTTATCGTTGTAGGAAAAATTATGGCGCGATAAGACTCCTTAAATAATTGAACATAAACCTGTTATTTTAAATCCTTCAATCATAAATTCACATGCGAGTTTGTGACGATGTAGTCACTTTTTTTCACAGGTCAAAGTGTTGAAATATATATGAACATTCACAACTTGGATACTGCATACATGAAGAATCTTTGATTTTATTGATGGCCTTACCAAAAAGAATGAATTTTTTAATTTTTTTCAATGGCGTTATTTCTTAGAAAGAAAAATACAAGAATAATAGAGGAAATAAATTTTTAGCCTTCTACTAAATGCTAGTTATTGTATGTTTCGTTTTCCTTTCATAGGTCAGTCTTTCCCCAATCACAGCTTTTCACATTGAAAACCCAACTGCATTATGTTTTCCTTTGTCCTTTTTAAGAGGTTTGAATTGTGAATGAAATGGATGTCGGCAAGTTTTACCCAACTAAGTTGGGCAGTTATGAGCTTTTCAAAATTTTAGGTGGTTTTAAGAGAATTTTTAAATATGAGGCTTTTTATACATAAATCTCTTTTAAATTAGAGATCTTAGATGACCGACTAGGCCAGTCCTACACTCAACTAAAATTTTGTAAAGGGAAGAAAGACGGTGCAGTAGTGGTATTCACTACCTTTCAAAGTGAAAAGTAGAGCTTATTTAATTTGTAACTTTAAAAACAATTTTCAAGAATTTAAAAAATAAAAAACTGTAATCAGAAAATAATATGTTATAGTTCTTTAAAAATAAAGACATTTTTATAACTGAGTTAGCAGAGTTTTTTATACAATTTTCTGTTAACAAAAAACTGTTTCTATGGTTACAAACTAAGCAAGCGGATTTAAACATCTATTACGAGTTTGTTGCGGATATATAAAGAGCTTATGTTGATGACGACTTGATATTGCTTAAGCTCTGTTAATAACTATTTGCTAATCAACTTAATTTGGTTGATCTACTAATATTTAATTATTTTTTAATATTTATTATAATTTATTATTCCTATAATGATTAACTGCAAATAAAAATTTTAAAGCAGTGAAAGTTTAAACCCACACTCCATATAGCTTGCTGAAAACCCATAGATAGGCTCAAGTCTCTGCATTTGTTGACATAATCTAACATTTAATATTTTTTGCCTTGCAAAAATAAAAATAAAATAGATAAAGTGCTGCTTGCTGCGGCTAATAGTAATGAACACTGATCTTTTAATGAATAGAGCACCAGCCAGCTAACTATTTTTTAATTTTTTCAATTAATGAGACGAGAGAGAACCAAAAGGACGCCAAAATTTGTGATTGAGATTGGCAAATCCCATACACTGAAATACACTGAACGTTGAAATCAACGACCATAACAAAGCTAGTTTCAATTCGCTGGACGCATTACAACATCATCATCGCGAAAATAAGCAAAAGGAACTTTTGGTAATTTCGCACCCTCACAACCCCAAACAAAAGGGTCTCCCCAAAATCCATGCCGTGTTTGTTGCGTGGCAAAATCCCGCCATCCCTCGCCTTTACTTTCCTTCTCGCACATCTCCACCTTTCCATTATATATATATATATATATACGTATTAACATATTGTAGATACAATATAGAAAGATGAATCCGATCTCTCTGCACAACTTGGGATTTTACTTCGCAACAATTCCAGACTTTTTCTTGGAAAATCCTTACTCTCCCTTTCTCATCTCTGCGGATTATCTTCATTGCTCACTTCATCAACCTCGCCTTTTCAGGTCCATTGTTTCTCTCTCTATATATGTATTTATATATCATATTTATGTTTATATTCTATTGAGTTTTGATTCGCCGGATCTGTTTTTGTTTTATTTCAATTCTGGAGATGTAACAATGGAACCTAAGGTTGCTGTGAATTTGTTTCAGAACTGATTATTTCATGTTTTGATAATAGTTCTCTTTGTTTGGCTGTAGAGAAAGTTTAGGAAAATATAAGAGATTTGAATATTGATTATATGCATTGCATGTCAACCGAGAAAACAAAAGCATCCATTGAGCAATTTAGGCCTCGGAGTAAATATATATATATATATATAAAATTTCTTTTTGTTTGGTTGTAGAGAAAATATAGGATGAAGTTTCTGAATCGTTCTGAGGAGATACTGAATTTTCCTTTTCTCAGATACTCTCTTCTTGATTTCTGTTTGCATTGAATTTCGAGTTACTGTTTGCAAAATATAAGACGGAAACAGTGAATTTATGCTTGCTTTTGTTTGGTATTACTCCAATAACTAGACATTGCAGTTCCATGGAGGATTCATAGTTCTGTATTCTTTCCTTTGATTTCTCTAAATGTTCTTTTATTTGTATGTGAAAACATTTGTTGCAGGGAACTAAACGTTCATAATACCTATATACATATGTATATTGCTTAAGTTGTGTTAATCTGCTCCACGATTCACTTTTATACCTGTTGTTTCCTTTGTTCTCATGATGGATGATGTCCTTTTTGTGGTCAGGTTTTGGTTTTACTTGCAGAAGCTGTCTGGATTTTATCAATATTGTAGGCCATGAAAGAGAATTGAGACGGATATTTAGAAAATTGGCTCGCCATGATTGAATTTAGTATTTCACTGTTAAGGTTGTTGACAAGCACAGATTCTTATCTTCCCTTTCTTTTCGGATGGTTGGTAACTGGATCATTTGGACTACTAGTTATCATATATGCATTCTTCAAATGGCAGAGAAAGACATCCCTTAATTGGGTTAAAGCTGCCGCTAGAGCAAAGAAGAAAGTCTGGAAAAAGCTAAAAGTTCCTTTATCACATCATACATGGACGGAAGATTTTGCTAACGGTGGTCAGCCATCCACGTGCTGTGTTTGCTTAACTTCCCTGGTGTCCCCACAAACCTTAGGTACAAAAGCTGCATCACACACTCCTGTCCATCGTTGCTCTGTTTGTGGTGTAGCGGCTCATTTTCATTGTTCTCAGTTTGCAGCAAAGGATTGCAAGTGCGTGGCGCAGTCTGGTTTTAGCCATGTGCAGCATCACTGGTCAGAAAGATGGATTGACATGGATGAGAATCCTGAGATGTCTGCTTTCTGTTTTTACTGTGATGAACCTTGTGGTATTCCTTTTCTCGATGCCTCTCCAACATGGCGTTGCTTATGGTGTCAGCGCCTTATACACGTTAAATGTCATGCCAAAATGTTTCAAGAGTATGGTGATGTATGTGATTTGGGTTCTCTAAGTAGAGTTATCCTCTCACCGATTTGTGTGAAAGAAGTTAAAGGTAAAAGAAATGGAGGCAGAATGCTGAGTACCATCACAGAAGAAATTATTTCCTCATCTGTTCAAGGGCAAATTAGAAGAAGGCGCCATCGGAACAAACATGGAAGCAGTCATTCTTGTAATGGTAAGTTACAGGATGCTTCAGCTGCCAGTAGAGCATGGCAATATTTGCTCAATGGGCTTGTTGGTTTGAATAAATCCAGTGATGATAACAACAATGACCATTTCTTGAAGGATGATGGAGTACTTAGTAAAAAGGGATCCCAGAATGAGTTATTCCATAAAAAGCATGAAATTGCTGTTTGTGGTCAAAGTAAGAAGTACACTCTTGTCGACTTGCCACAGGATGCCAGACCTCTTGTAGTCTTCATTAATGCCAAGAGTGGAGCTCAAAACGGGCTTTCCCTTCGGAGGAGATTGAACATGCTACTGAATCCTGTGCAGGTGAGTGTTTTAGCTCTTTAGTTGCAGTGAATACTAATGTGAAATATATTTAACTGTCCTCCCCCCCCCCCCCCCCCCCCCCTCAAAAAAAAAAAAAAAAAAAAAAATTATTTTTTCTCTTTTGGTTAAGTATTGCTTAGTGTTGTAGTTCCTATTTTCTTATATTTTTCTAGGGCATAATGTTTAACACTACAGTGACAAAACAAACACAACCTTTGCATTAACTAGCTAGATTGCCACAAATAGAGTGCTTGCTTTTAGCTGTGATATATTTAACATGTCGTACCAATTCTATTGAATGAATTGTGGCCTAGAGTTTGTAATTAATAATCTTGTGCTTTGTTAAATGCGTCAGTTAGAGTTTGTAACAAAAAAAACTTGTCCTTTGTAAAATGCATCAGTTCTCATATTTTCTGCTCAAGTAAGCACTAGTCTTGTTGTTGAGTGCTGCCACTTTGAAGGGTTTAGGTTTTAATATGTTCCCAACTTAAAGAGGTATGTGCAGTTCTCCAACTTTTTCCTGGTAGAAATTTGCCTTTTATCGATTCTTTTCACTTCATCCTTGGTGAGTTGAAGCAATTTTTTGATGCCTTAGCACCTTCTAATTTTTGGAGCAGCTGGTGTTGTGTGTGGCAATACATTTTCTTAGGAAAAACAATAAATTACTGAAGGCAGTGAGCAATTTTGTCCCTTTTTTTTTTTTGCCAAGCATTTTATTTCAATTCTACACCATGATGTCCACTGAGATTAGTCTTTAGTATGTAGCTGGATGTTGTAAAGCTCACATACGTTCATATGGCCACTTATATGCTGCACGTTAAGAGGTTCTCTATAGGTTATTGGATTTAAACCCTTCAAACCCTGCAAAAGAGAAGAAGAAAAAAAGAAGCTTAGGGGAAAAAATATAGAAAACAAAGGAAAAAGAAATACTAGCTGGCAGTATCTTATAATAGATTATATGAAATTATAATTTTTTTTATTTTTTTTTATTTTTTTTTTTCAGTGAGAAATGATATAAATCAGATCCTGACTTTAATGATACAAATGCAGTACATGCACAACACATATGGTGTGTGTGCAATTTATCTTTTATCAGTGGGTTTAGGAAAAATAACCTAAAATATTTTTCAAAGAAGTTATATTCCAAAGATAATTTAACATTAAAAGAGATCATTTAGAGGCTTATTTTTCTTAATCTACAAAAGAAAGAAAGAAAGAAAGAAAAAAACAACTTTTTTTCTCTGTGGCACATACTGAATGGTTATGGAAGACTAATATATTGGTGGATATGTGCAAATTCATGCAATTTTATAAATGCTACATAAATAAATAAAGTGAAAATTGAGAAGTTTACAATTATTTCTTTATTATTTTTTAAGTTGTAAACTTTATAAATTAAAAAAATGAAGTTTTGGGTTCTTAATACTCGATTCCCTATCTTGTCCTAGCATCAGACAAATTTTAAAATTTACTTCTCTGTATGTTCCTACTTAGCAACTCCTCAACCTCTCTTACTCCCACCTGGTTCTTCATTTATTTGTCTATACCCATCACAAGCTTGGCTGTATTCGACTCTCCAAGGCTGGATGCGAAAAGAGATGGGTTGGTGTTCGGTAGATGATTGACTGTAAAATTTTGTCAAATCCTTTGATAGATTCTCATAAAAAATAAAAAAAAAATAAAAAAAAAAAAAAAAAAAGGGCCCCCTTGATACGGATTCAAGGCAATGATGATGATGAGAGAGCTTGGATGTAAAGACTTCTTTGTGGTTTTATTAGAGACTACCTCTTCTAGAAGGCAATGACCTCCGAGGTTATATTGATGCCTCAAATCTGTGACCTTTATGTCTAATGACCAACGGTGGTAAATTGACGATGACAAGCTTGGCTGTAAAGACTTCTCTGGATACTACCTCTTAGAGGCAACAACCTCTGAGTTTATATTGATACCTCACATCTGTAATCTTTATGTCTAATGACCAATGGCGGTAATATTTTTACAATCACTGACTAAAACAACACAACTACCAATTCGTAGTGTCAGGCCTGGTTGTGTTGCTTAGCAGAATAAAGATCAGCTTCTTCTAAGTGGTTTTTACCATCAATTAATGAAAAAAGAGTGGTTTTTCTCTTTTAATAGAATTTGCAGGGTATCATGTCTTCTCCCACGGTAGGAGTAACACAAATAGAACTCCGTTCTGACTAGCATCACTTCCTCCTACTGCTACCGAGACTTCTATAAGAGGGAGAAATAGGATGATTGGCCCTTACTCCATTCCTTATGGAGGAATGGTGGGCCCAATCTATGGGTGGGAAACCCCAGGATCCCATCTTGGAGTATCTCCTTCCTACCCTGACTAGATCCAATAGGGCAATTCATTTTTTTTTTTTTTTTCTGGTTATATTAATCTCTTTAAGTTTATTCCTTGTATGCTTTGTGATATCCACACGTCATAAGTTGCTTTAAGCAGCAGGAACTTGTTTAAATCTTCATAATACTCCCAAATTGGACCATCAATAATGCATTTGTGCTCTCTCTTTTAATAATTTTTTTTTTGGAAAATTCTCTTTTAATAATTTGATGTGAAAAAACTGTTGACTTCCAATTTTGGAATTAACTTTATTTTATTTAATGTTTGGTTAAATTTTCTTTGATGTGATTATGATTGCAATGAATCCATGTAATGGCATTTATATATTTTTGCTCAGTTCCATCGTTTGTTGTTGCAGGTTTTTGAACTTAGTTCCTCCCAAGGGCCTGAGGCTGGTTTAAAAATGTTTTGTAATGTGCAATATTTTAGGGTTTTGGTTTGTGGTGGAGATGGTACTGTTGCGTGGGTCCTTGATGCCATTGAGAAGCACAATTTTGAATCACCTCCACCTGTTGCTATTCTTCCCCTGGGAACAGGAAATGATTTGTCAAGGGTTTTGCGTTGGGGAGGAGGATTCTCGAAAATCCAAGGAGAAGGTGGCTTAAGCACTCTTCTGCATGACATCAATCATGCAGCAGTTACGATGCTAGATCGTTGGAGAGTTAATATTACAGAAGAAAAACCAGATAGTGATCCAAGTAAAAGGCGATCCAAGTTCATGATGAACTATTTAGGTACTTTCCTTTTCTTGGTCTGAAAATGATTTATTTATGCTGCCCAGTTTTCTAAAAATAGTGATTATCTTTTTAATAGGTATTGGATGTGATGCGAAGGTTGCATATGAATTTCACATGACACGGGAGGAAAACCCTGAGAAGTTCTACAGTCAGGTAGCAATACATAATTTCAGGCATTATATTCTTAGTTATTATGTACCAAGTGGTGGTTGATATTATGCAGGTTTCACTCTCCTTGACTTGCCCAGTTGCAATAAACTACTTGTTATCCAATGTGCATTTTAATTTTTACTTTGCAAAAAACCAACATGTGATAGATGATCAATGGAATATTAAAAAAAATATATAATATTCTGACGTTCATGCTATATTATAGTGTCATTTACCTACTTCTTTTCTTAGGATGAGGATTGGTATACTTGTTGGTATTGGCTAAGAAAAGAGTGATTGAGTTATATTAAAATGATATCTAGGTTGTCCAAAAAAAATTCATTCATGGATCTGAGCTTTGACCCGTAGAGACTAGGGATAGTGGGGTAATGTGGACTTGTCTTATTCCAGAATCTAAAATTTGATTAAACCGACTTCTCAAAAGTGTTTATTTACCTAATTCGGCATGCATGGGTGGCCTCTTGCTAACTAGAAGTATTGGACAGTTTGTGAATAAATTGCGTTATGCGAAAGAAGGTGCCAGGGATATGATGGACAGAACTTGTGCTGACTTGCCATGGCAAGTTTGGCTTGAAGTTGATGGGAGAGATGTCCAGATTCCAAAGGTACACACAAGTAATAATTAGGATCATTTAAGTTATTATTATTATTAGTGGTGTCATGCTATGTTTCTGATGTGGTCTTGTTTATTCTCTTTTATACAGGATGCTGAGGGTTTAATTGTGCTCAACATAGGAAGCTATATGGGTGGAGTAGATCTTTGGCAAAATGACTCTGAGCATGATGATGATTTCATTCTTCAGTCCATGTACGACAAAAATCTTGAGGTTGTTTGTGTTTCTGGAGCATGGCACCTTGGCAAACTTCAGGTCTGAAATTTTCTCTTGCCACATTTTTTTATATTTGGTTTGTAGGCTTATCATGCTGTCGATTTGACTTAATCATGTGATTTTTAACTCTTAACTTCTTTCTTTTTGTTAAGACACTAAAAAAATTATGTTATATTATTATATATTTTGTTGATCTTTTGTGTTTTACATATTGTTTAATCTAGCATACATAAAAGAACCCGTTAAGTTTAATGGTAAAAATAAGAAATATCTTGCAAATGGCATACAGCCCTATTTTATGATTGGATAAGAAACTTTGTCATGATATATTCCAACTACTTTTAACACTTTATGCACAAGAAGATATTCTTTTTCTTACTTACGGCTGCTTGCTTTTGAAGTTTCAACATTAACGGCATAGCTTTTTACAAAAGGAATTCAATTTTTTCTTCCATTCTTTTTTATCTCTCTACCTTTCCCCCTAGAAATAGGATAGAAGCAGTGTCCATATAAAGCATGATGTGGAGAACGTTGAAAATATACAATACACTCATATATGCATCAACTTGAACAGGGAATTTTTTATATTTGCATTTTGTTGCTTGACAATGGCTATGCTTTTATACATGCTAACAAGCTTCTCATTTGGGTACATTCACTTTCCTCCTCTTTAGTAAAATTCAATAAGCAAAATTTTTAGTGATTTATGATGTTTTTGGCTTATACTACATAAGTAACAAAACCATAAGAATTGTTGCATTGAGGACTGCTTATTTCCATCTTTAGCTTAACTACCACAAACTCTCTATTGTCGTTGTTGTTGTGTGGATTAAGCCGGATAAAGATTTGATTAGCACTTTTTCTGTTGTGAAGGTTGGACTTTCACAAGCAAGGAGGTTAGCACAAGGGAAACTCATACGAATACATTCTTCTAGTCCTTTCCCAGTTCAAATAGATGGGGAGCCATTTATTCAACAACCTGGCTGCTTAGAAATAACACATCATGGGCAGGTATCTATCTGGTGCTTGGTTTTGTAATGATGGATATACTAATGCACCTTGGCATCATATTACATGCATGCATGCATGGGAGATTTTTTTTACTGCATTACTTGAATTGAGTCTAATACTGAAGAGAAAAAAAAAAAAAAAAAAAAAGGTTTGAAAACAAACAAAAGCAATGGATCTCTTTGTTATGTTTTGCATGGTTCGTAGTATTGGCCTCCATCAGTGACACATTTATACCTTATAAAATTTGTACTCGAGTGGTTATTTTTCTACAAGGTATCTCAAGTGTCAAATGATATTTGTTTATCAGTAGACCTATTGCCAATACATACATATTTCAAACAAATTCTGATATAATGAGAAAGCAGATAGCAGTTTGTTGCTTATATTTGAGGGGAGTATGGACTGTGACTGTAGGCTTTGATATAGAGTTAGGGCAAGGCCGTGATCTAGATCTAGAAGAGGCCGGGGGGGGGGGGGGGGGGTTATGCAACTCTTGTTTGCTAAATTACCCAACCTTAACTACTTTTTGAACATAGATAAATATATATATATATATGATAAGTAAAAATATATTAACAAAGGCGCTCAGAGGGGAGCGAACCCTTAACAAAGCAAACAAAATACGCAAAATGCGCCATTACAACGATAAGCAGTCAACAAAATCCAAAAAGCTATCCATAGATGGGCAATTTTTCCCATTAACCCAAGAATAAAGAGAATGCAAAATATTCGCCTTAATAACCCATACCGGTGACTCCTTTCCCTCAAAAGATCTCCTGTTCCGCTCATGCCACAGCCCCCACCAAATACAAAGAGGTGTAACCCTTCACGCCTTCCTAACTCGACTGCCCATTGGTCTCCCTCTCCAAGCCTCTAACACATTCATCGTGTTACTTGACACCACCCAATCTATACTCTACCCCAAAACATTCAGGACTAAACTTCAAACATCCGTTGCCACTTTACAGTGCAGCAAAAGATGATTCACCCGCCTTCTTACACATGAAACACCAATTAACTGTTATTTGGCATCTTTTTTTGAGATTGTCAAGAGTAATAATGCTGCCAAGCACCGCTGTCCACGTGAAAAAAGCCACCTTCAGGGGAGCTGAAGTCCTCCATACAGCCTTCCAAGGGAAGCCGTTGCTTATCGAATTCGTGAGACTTTGATAAAACAGCCTCACCTTAAACACCCCTCTAGCATCCCCCATTCACACCATTTCATCCCTTCCTTCCCCCTCCACCACTTGACTATAAATTAATCCCATTAAATCGGTAAACTCCAGCATCTCCCAATCATTAAAATTTCTGCAAAATCTCACATCCCAAACAGCTCTCCCATTCTATAACCTAAAATAATCTGCCACCACCGCATGCTTCTCCTCAACCATCCTAAAGAGTCTAGGAAACCTACAAGCCAACACGACGTCCCCACACCAAACATTCGTCCAAAACCTCACATAACGATCATTCCTAACTATAAACCGTATCCGCTTAGAGAATTCGTCCCAACCCAACCCTCCTAATACTTTTCCATGAACCTATACCTGCTGATGAAGGCACACCTCTAGACATCCAACCTCCCTCCTCTTCCCCAAACCGACAAGCAATAACACGCCTTCAAAGCACGGACCTTTCGCACCCAAATCTCCATAGCCATTTCCCTAATAGAGCTTTGTTAAACATATCCAACCTGCGAAGCCCCAAGCCTCCTCTTTGAATCGGGGTGAACACTTTCTCCCATTTCACAAGGTGGTACTTAAACTCCTCCTTTACACCCCTCCAGAAAAAGTTCCCTGAATCTTATTAAGTCTACTAATCACTGTTCTAGGGATTGGAAACAAAGACATAAAATATGTATGAAGATTAGAGAGGGTACTCTTCAGCAATGTAAGTTTACCCCCTTTCGACAAGTATTACTTCTTCCACTCAGATAACCTCTTTTGAAAACGATCCACCACTAGATCCCAAACGGCAACTCTCCTCATGGAAGCACCCAATGGCAGCAGCCCCAAATAAGAAAATGGAAAAGCCTCCACTCCACAACCCAAAATAGCTACCAACTCATGAATATGATCCACCTCCCCTACTGGAACAATCACACTCTTCCCAATATTAATCTTCAGCCCAGAAACCACTTGAAAACAGGCCAAAACACACCTCAAGTGTCTCACTTGATTTGCACTCGCATCACAAAAAACAATAGTGTCATCAACAAACAACAAGTGAGATGTAACAATCTGATTTGGCACACGTCCCACCGAAAAACCTTGAATAAAGCCTAGTACCTCTGCCCTTTTCATGAGTCTACTAAAGGCTTCCATTACAATAATGAATAGAAAAGGGGACAATGAGTCCCCCTGATGTAAACCTCTCGAACTTGCGAAGAAACCTGCTGGTGACCCATTCACTAAGATAGGAAAACGAGCTGTCGAAATACATTAATGAATCCAGCCTCTCCATTTGGTTCCAAACCCCATCCTCTGCAACACATACAATAAGAACACCCGATTCACATGGTTATATGCTTTTTCAATATCCAATTTACACACAATCCCCGGTTCACCACTCTCGACTCTTGCATCAATACATTCACTAGCAATAAGAACCGGGTCGAGAATTTGCCTTCCTCCCACAAACGCATTTTGAGACTCCGAAATGACCCCATCCAACACTTTCCTTACCCCAAGGGAAAAAGCATAGGACTTGGTACAGGCAAAACGAATGCACTATGAGAAAGAAGTTACAACTAGGTTACTCGGATTTTCAAACCATAGAAATTCCTAGTTATCTCTTGACTCAGACTTGTGCATACTCTATCAATCAACAAAGTCGCTCTTCATGCAATCAGCTTTTCTGTCAACTCTTCGATATCCATGACTAGTCGTCTAAGCTTGTTTTCCTTGTATAATTGAACTTGAGTGTTGATTTACTCTTTTAGCAAAGAAAATCAGGTGATCAACACTCACAACATACACTCACCATCTAATGAAATGATGAAGAATGAAAGAATCAAAATATAGTTATATGAAAATGCTAGGATGCACTCAATATGCTAAAAAATCTTTATGCCTTAGGGAATAAGCTTTCCTTTAGTTGTATACGTGGAGCATCATGGATTTTCAGAAAACTACTTCGAGACCATAGAGATTAGGTCTAAAAGAGATTCTGTTTTGTTTGGAAACTGAATTTTGGAGGTCTCTATTGTTCGAGACAAGTGTCGATCGATCAACACATGACCAGTGGCCTTCAATTGTTCTATCAAGCTATGCACTCTCCTATTGAAAAAAGAAATCCCGTTAAGGGAAGTTATATAACTCTTTTATGCAATTCAAAAATGATTTTTATTCATCAAAACATGAGATTTAAGAAAGCCTAATTGAATTAATGCATATGAAAGCCTAATAGAAAACTAACTAGGTGAGTGCGTAAATGGGAGGAGTTGTTAATTTTTGTCATTGAATGTGGCATTCACTTCCAATTCTGCCTTTGAAGATGTAACACAACTAAATAAATGAAAAATCTAATCAAAAGCTAAATAAAAATATAAACTCCAATTTTTAAATGAAATTTGCCAGCATAAGTCATACTGACCTAACAGTATTCAACAACAGTAAAGTTTCTCAAACTAAGAAGAAAAAATTAATAAGAAAGAGCCCATAATTGGATTTTTGAGGGATTGGAATTCTTTCATATATTAATGTCATGACCCGCTATGCTGTGTAGATATATTCCGTTTTGCACACTCTTCGTGCTCACGGTTATTCAAAACGCGCCTAAACAGTTAGGAGGTATCAACACATATAAGTGCCAACAACTTCCTTCCCCAGGCGACGTGGAATGTCACTATTAATCCTCGCATCTGGAATTTTCCTCTGTATTAATGTATATACGTAAGTATAATTTGTCAACCATTCTGATAAACTAAACTCTCTCTTTCTCTCTCTATATATCTATCTATCTATCTTTGTATGTATATTATATACTTAAGTAAGCCTATCATGAGGGTTCCCTCACAATGTGCTTTTGTTGTCCTCTGTTGGATTGATAGCGCTAGAATTTGGTTACGGCTAAATTTGTCATCTTGGATAAAATAAATTATTTATTTCATTGTCGGGCAATAAGCTCATTTCCTTCATTTTGTCTTCTTCTTGTCTCCCCCTCCCTCTAAGCTAGCCTTTTCATCCATCTCCATTTTTCATTTTGTATATTTCCTTGCGGTAGTTTTCAAGGAAAGCTAGGGCCCTTATCTATTGAATTGGTTTCGAGAGCATTCCACCAGTTTTTGTTGACTTTCCTGCTTTCATCCCCATTAATTTCAATGTTTTTCATTCAAATACAACCATGTTTGATTAGATTTGAGCATGTGACATGATTGGGGTTCATCATGTCATTTTAAGTTTATAAATTGAGAAATAGTTTAGGTTAAATCTTGTCATTTAATACAAAAGGAAATCATTTACTTCAGTGTTGGGCAATCGGCTCGTTTATTTTCTCTTATCTTCTTTTAGTCTTCCCTTTCTCAAACTTAAAATCTTGTTGTAATACCGCAATGCTATTCAGAGAAGTGGAACAAATTGAAAGTGAATATGATATCCTAAATGCTGGCTATTGTAGGCTGGAATAGACTCCAAATGTTTTCCCTTTGCATATGGACCACCTAATTTAAAGTTAATTTGGCTGTTCGTAAGTTTGGCATCCTAATATAATCACATCTGATTAGGTTTTGGCACGAGGCATACTATGGGGTTCATCATGTATTTAAATTTTATTAATCAAAGATTCTTGGATTTTTTGAACAAAACATCAATCTGCCTTTGAGTTCGGATTGGAGCTATTGAAGAAAGAGTAAACCTACTTATTTCTGGTTTGAAGACCAGTAGTTAGTTCTAGCGGTCAACTCGGTTCTTTCAAATTGTTTCTCATTATTAAGAAGAGGTAATGAAGATAAAATACAAGCTTGTTTTATAGCGATAGTAATTAACTGTTGTTTTTTCAAGTTCAATCTATTCACTTGTCTAGATAATATTTTTCCATGTTCACTCATAATTTGACTACTTAAACTATGTTTCTAGAATCATGTTTATTTCATTGTTGGGCAACCGGCTCATTCCTTTCGTTTTGCCTGTTTCTAGTCTCCCACTCTCTCTAAACAAGCTGTTTTATTGTCGCCATTTTTCTTTTTATTTATTTATTTTTTGTGGGTTTTCCCTTTTAATTGTAATGTTTTTCATTCAAATACAATCATATTTGATTATATTTTGGCATCTAACATGATTTGGGGTTCATGTCATTTAATTTTATAAATTGAGAAACAGTTTAGGTTTCATCTTGTCATCTCAGACATAAGGGAATCATATACTTCAGAGTTTCAATGGGCTCATTTCTTTGCTTTCGTCTTCTTTTGGTCTCCCCCTACTCTAAAACAATCATCCTTCTCCCATATTTTGTTTTGGTTTGTTTGCTTTCTAATTTTTTGTTTCCTTCCTTTCTTTGAGGTTTGAAATAGAAATCTTGTTGTAATGCCCCAATGCTAATTAGAGAACTGGAACAGATTGGAAGATATATCCTATATGTCGGCCCTTCTAAACTGGAATGGACTGCAATTATTATTATTATTATTTTTCTTAGTAAATTAAACTGCAATTACTTTTCTTTATGAAACAGAATCTTATATGGGTGAAAAAAAATAGTGTATGGGTTCTTGGGGAGACATTCATATTATGAAGGTGATTTTTGGATTTGGTCAGAACTCAAAGATGATGATGTAGTGGATCTGTACACCAATGAGGAGGCTGACTTTTGGCCTCCTCTTCCCATCCACATTCTTGAGTCATTATAGTCCTCGTTAGTTACACATCAGCTGCAGTTGTGTGGCAATAGATTCAGGAGCAGGTTGTAATTAGAAGTTGAGACAACCCGTAATCCATGTTCATTTATCCGATAATATTATTATGAGTGTGGGTTAGTGGATGAGAGCTTTGACAGGAAAACAAGTGTTAAGGTTGAGACCAAGGCTAACTTAAGAAAGAGAGAGAGAGTGAAGGCCAGTTTCTATTCACCAAAGGCTTGACAAGGTAAGAGAGCCTCTTGAGGTGATGTTATCTTATTTTTTAGTTTTGAATGCCTGACGAACAAGGTGGTGTTCATGCCAACATGGTGGTCGGCATGAGGTTGTCATATTAAAGCAAAGGGAGGAAAATTTCAATTATAGGGCATACAATTTCTATCGTCGGAAGCTTTGTGACGATGCAATGAGAAGACTCCAGGTTCTAAAAAGCAGTAGTGTTTGCGGTGTCACTGTCTTGGGCCATTACGGTGGTTATGTAATGCGTAGTTTGTTATAGGCCATTCTAATTGTAAAAAAAATTTCAACAAAAAAATAAAAAAAATATGAACCGATATGCAAGTTCAACTCCAGAACTCAATAAAACTGTGTTTTTGAATGTTTAAAGGTGAATGGCTTATAAATTAAATTTCAAGACGTTTTGAGCAGTATGAGAGTAAATAACTTGTAGTTTTCACTAAATTTGTTTTTCGCGTTTTGATTTGTAAATCTGCAGTTTGGTAGGGTGGAGGTTTGGTTTTTCCTATTTTGGTCTAATTCGAAAAAAATGAGACAAGGAAGTTGAAAATCAGATTTCTAAAACCAAATCAAGGTTGTCTCGTTTCAGTCTTCCTGTGACTCGGCCCTATTGACGAGTTAGGCCGAGAAGCCTGCATAATATCACATTTGAAATGAATTCTATATGTTTGCATGTACAATATTGATTTTTGTGATCTCAATAATCCACTCTGGAACATTGGTTAGGTTTGACAAATCTCAACCCTCAAGAATCTTTGGCTTTGACTTCTGCTATGGATTTGTCCCTTAAATGGCATTCGGGGAATAATCACAAGAGCTTTCCTGATATATGCTTCTATTTCTATCAGGTGTTTATGTTGAGGAGGGCATCAGGCTCAGGGGAGCGAACAGGTCATGCAGCTGCAATAATGACAGACGTCTTGGTTGATGCCGAGTGTAAAGGTCTTATAAATGCATCTCAGAAGAAATTACTTCTCCAGCAGATGGCCCTCCAGCTATCCTGATCCACTTCCTCCTTCCCGCCTTTGTATCTCTATTTCCTACTACTACTAAAGGTAACAGCTTTTGATTTTTTTACCGAGTTACCTCACCCTGATGCCCATACACGTTTTCAAAGTATTTTCATTGCTTTTCGAGAGGGAAAAAAAAAAAAAAAACTTGTATACGAATGAGACAGACACAGTTTATTTGACACAGGATGTATTCTAAGAGTGAGATTACCAGAGATCTGTTGACCTAGGTGATACAGTAAGAATGTGCTGTAAAATTTTGATATTAGTAATTTGAGTCCCATGGTTCAGAAACTAATTTCTTACCTAATTCACTTGTTTCACTTGTATATATTGGATTAGATATGGTGCACAGTGATTAAAATCTTTACCTGATTTGATGATTTTGGATCCCTCCAAAGTGTTCTATTGTCTGATTTTTTATTTTTTATTTTATTTTTTCACTTTTAATGTAGGTTCATTAGACATTCATAATTTTTGAATTGGAAAGTTTTGAGAAATATTTGGTGAATAACATTCATCCTTTAGGGTTTATCTTGATACTTTCAAGGAATGTCATTTTTTTTTTCTTCGGTAGAGCAGGAATTAATCTGGTTATTATTTCGCGCCTATTTTGAAATTGGGTGTAGGAAAAATATTTGGAACGATTTGAAGAAAATTAAAAATAAACTTACCACGGGATATAGTGATCCCCAATGTTATGTTATTGCTAAGAAGGTTGAGTCAAAATTGAATTCTTATATGTAATAATTGGAGAATTTATAAATGATTTGATAGTAATTTTTATTTTTTATTTATTATTTTTTTTGTAGTCATGAGAGTGTGATTGAGCAAATGAAAATGATTTTTCACAAGATAACATCTTAGAATTGGAATTTTGGGGGATTTTTTTTTGGTGAAAAACAAATGGTTATTGCTGGGATGTCACTTTTACCATTAACTCAATGATATAGTCTCTTTTCACTCAAGAGAGGGTGGTTCAAGACTTGTCGTAGTGAGCTTTTATAAAGCGTGTGTACTCGAAAGAAAAAAGTAACAAAATAAAATAAAAAAACGATTTGCTTGAGAATGTTTTTTACAAATTGATTTTGATTCCTATAGGTCGATCATGCCCACAAACAAATTTTTAACTTTTAAGCCTAAATTGAATAACTCAACATAGAATTGGAAATTTGAAATTGATGGGATTTGAGAAAAATAATTAAAAAAATTAAACTAAATTTTTTCAAATTGAACAAATTCTAATTTCATACAGCCGACCACACTCCTAATATTATTCCAAATCAAAATATAATCATTCTAATACTTGAAATAAGAGTTTTCCAAGTCTATAGAATGATGTTTAAGTATCATTTCTTGGTAAAAAAATAGTTTTTATTTATTTATTTATTTTTTATAAAAAAAAACCATAATCTAGTGCATTAAGGTACAACTTTTAGTGCATAGACACAACCCTTTTGTGCAATCCTTTAGTGCAATAACGTAACCATTTTAGCGCCCGAAATGTACAATCTTCTTGCAACTTTTGCTTCCCATAATTGTTTTGAAATTCACTAAGTGAGACGACTTGCACAATGCAAATATTTCTCAAAGTAGAACTGTGGTTTGATCTAGATGCAGTGTCACCAGCTTGTCATTTGAATATAAAAATAATACTAATCTTTTTCACTTTCATCTTATATTCCTCCTGGTCAAATAATATCAAAATTATACCAAATTTTAGTAAAATAAGCCTAGATAGATTCCAAACAATATATATATATATATATATAATGCATTGAAATATATGATGAGAAATTATTGGCTATTTCTAGGTACGGACAATGAAGTACTTTATTCGCCCCTGGTATCAATCTAGGCAAATAGTTTAAATAGCATACAGCATGAATATAGGGATACACCAAATCCTAAAAAAGTCGAACAAGAATGCAACACAAACACGGCTAATATACATATAAATTATCGTTTAAAATTTTATTAATCAAGATAACTAAAAGTTGCTACATAATTAAGAGGAAAACTATCCAAATATCCTACTAATATTATATATGTTTGTCATTTTTATTGTTCTTTGAGTTTGGACCCAAACCAGGGTGTCCATGGGTGAGCCCGACCCGGTTAGGAAAAGTCTAGATTAAATCTAAGAGGTTTCCTTATCTGATATTGGCTTGGGGACCAACGGAATGAAACAACATACATATATTATATTGTGATATTCTTTCATACGACGATACGCACAAAAAGTCAAAAAGAGAACCGAATACACCAAAATATTTTTTTTCTCTGTCAATTGTTTCTGGAGAGCAAAAAAGACTGTTGGACTGTGGATTTGAGGGTTACACTTATATTTGTAGTGTAATGAAACAACATACATATATTATATTGTGATATTCTTTCATACGACGATACGCACAAAAAGTCAAAAAGAGAACCGAATACACCAAAATATTTTTTTTCTCTGTCAATTGTTTTTGGAGAGCAAAAAAGGCTGTTGGACTGTGGATTTGAGGGTTACACTTATATTTGTAGTGTAGTTCCACCGCGAGATTGATTGGGGCTGTGTTGGCACGTGAAACATCCGTCAGTTCATTTCCGATTATGGTAAAGCTACTTTGAGATAACCTAAATACACTTTCACACTAATTATTATTATTATACTTGATTTTCTACATTGGTATCAGAGCCATTAGGTTGTTTTCGTACCTAAGAATGATCAAAACATGCTTAGAGTAACTATATGGGTATTTATTACATAAAAAATGTTCAAACTGATGTGTGTGTGTGTGTGTGTGTGTGTATGTGTGTGTGAGAGAGAGAGAGAGAGATGATGGAGGCTGAAATTGTATTTCATATATATCTCAACCCTAAGACAAACGAAGCTTATATAAAGGTACAGGAATGAGCTAATTACATAATGACCCTACCAACTATATGTAATTACAGCATGACCCAACATAAATATATATACACACACACACACACACATAAACATTCTAACACTCCCCCTCAAGTTAGAGTATATATCAAATAATCATAACTTGGAACAGATAGTCCTTAACCAGTTATGACCCAATGGTTTAGTTAACATATCAGCTAATTGATCTCCAGACTTCACAAATGGAGTAAAGATACTCCTACTTAGTATTTTTTTCTCGAATGAAGTGACAATCAACTTCAATATGTTTGGTCCTCTTATGAAACACATGATTTGATGCAATGTGAACAACTACTTGATTATTACAGAACAATAGAATATGAGCTTCAACTGTCAACCGAAGTTCTTTTTAAAAAATGTTGTATCCATGTTAACTCATTAGTGGTATGGACCATTGCCCTGTACTCAGCTTTAGTACTAGATCGAGCTACCACTGTTTGCTTTTTTACTTCTCCATGTAACAAGATTTCCTCCTACAAATGTACAGTAGCCTATAGTAGATCTCCTATCTGAAGAAGAACCAGCCCAGTTAGCATTTGTAAAACCTTCCACCCTGAGATGACCATTTGATTTATATAGCAACCCAAAACCTGGAGCTTGCTTGAGATATCGGATAATCCAGAGAACGGCATTCCAATGTGGCATTTTAGGAGCTCCCATGAACTGACTTATGATGAGCGCTGAAAAGTGCGCATTTAAACCCCTTAAGTTTAGGTATTCTAGAACCTTTATCTATCTTATTTTCCCACTTTAGATTGATTTCGTGTTATTTCTATTTTCAGGTACTTATCCCTAAAATAAGCTAATTCAGCCAAATAAGAGTAGAAATGAAGCAATTATGGGATGAATCAAATAAAGGAGCAAAGTAGAGCAAAAGGAAGCAAAAGGTGGAATTTCAGCAACTTCGATCGATCTCAAGAAAAGTTCGATCGATCCAACTTTCATCGATCTCAGCACTTCCAGATGGATCTGAGCCATGTTTGTCCCTATTCAAAGATCTCAAAGTTCGATTGATCCAACTTTATTCTCTGATCGATCGAACCATCTTGTCTTTATCCAAATGATTGATCTTATCCAGCTGTACCACCCTACCAACCGCTTTTGTCCTTTTCCCAAAAATATGTTCAAAATATCTCAGATTTGTTTTTATCCAAAAAGGTGCCGCCATAGAGGATCGATCCAGCTTCAATTCGATAGATCTCAGCCATGTTCGATCGATCTCACCACAAGTTTGATTAATCGAACTTCCTAAATCTCGAGAAAATCCAAATTCTAGCTCATTAAAAGTTGTCTCATATCCAATCATTGGAGGAATATTTGGTGTACGAGCCCAGCTCATTTGGGGTGATTTTTGACCTACCTATATAAGGAATATGAGCCACTTTTTTAGATAAACTTTATACTTAGATACTTAGAGAGAGAATTCTTAGTGAGGAAGCAAAGGAAAGAAGGAGGCTAGAGACACCATTGGAGGCTCTTCATCAACCAAGGAGCAGATTTCTTCCATGGAGCTTGCCCATGAGGGTTGGAAGACATCATCCATGAGTGGCTAGACATTTTTTTGGGGCTAGAGTTAGCCTTGAGCATGCTTTCTACATCTTGATTTATGTATTTTTGAGGGAATTTATATTGTGATACATGTTTTGACACTTATATATATATAGATCTTGTTTATTCAATGATCTATATGGTTTAATGCTTCCAATTAATCATTTTATTATATCCATATGTCTATGTATGCTAGAATAAATGTTCATGTGTTTGTCTCTATTTTTTATATTGTTGATGCATGTCTATGTGTATTAATGCTATAGATCTAGAGATTGTCAAGACATAGTGCTTAATGGAATGTTTTTGTGGTTTATTTGATGGTTCATACTCATTTCTTGATGGATTGTACCTCTCTTAGTTTAATTAGTTTAATTTCATGTCATTAGCTTAATTGTAGTGTAGTTGTAGTTTAGATGTTAATTGAGAGGACAATCCATGCTTGTTGTTGATGTTCCATACTCATGAAAGCAAGTGATATATATCTCTAACTTTGTGATGTGTTTGGTTGTGAGCTTAAAGAAAGGATTAATGGCTTAATTTGATATGTTGTGCTATGCACCATGTTGCTTAGACAATATATGCTTAATTTGTCATCCATGCTTATTGAAACAACCACACACTCACTCTTTGTTGCAATACATGTTTTTTCCCTCATTAATCATTC